TCTACGTCTACCAAGTCATCTATGTATTGTTTAAAATGTTTTCTTGAAGGGTGGAGACTTCTTTGCTTCCACTTAGGCAGTTCTGATGTAATGGTACTCCTAATTTTGCATTCTCGAAAATCTGCATTTTTCAAGTAAGTGAGGCAGCACTGGAGGCACTCACTCATCTATCCCAAGAAATTTGGAAGACAACTATCTGGCCGACTGATTGGAAGAGATCCGTATCTGTGCCCATTCCAGAGAGAGGTGACCCAATGGAATGCAGAAATCATCGGACAATCTCTTTGATATCTCATGTGAGTAAAGTTTTACTAAAGGCAATACAGAAATGGTTGCAAGCACACATTGACAGAGAACATCCAGAGGTTCAAGCCAGATTCAGAAGAGGCCGTGGAATGAGGGATATCATTGATGATGTTCGATGAATCTTGGTTGAAAGTAGAGAATATCAGAAAGATGTTTACCTGTGCTTTATTGACTATGCAAAGGCTCTTAATTGTGTGGATCATGACAAGCTATGGACAACATTGAGAAGTATGAGTATTCCAGAACACTTAATTGTGCTCATAAGGAATCTGTACATGGACCAAGAGGCAGTTGTTCGAAAAGAACATGGGAACACTGAATGGTTTTAAATGAAGAAAGAGTTGTATTCTTCCACCATACTTATTCAACCTGTATGCTGACCAAATAATCCGAGAAGCTGGGTTCTATGAAGAAAAACGTGGCATCAGGATTGTAGGAAGACTCATTAACAACCTGCGATATGCAGATGATACAACCTTGCTTGTTGAAAGTGAAGAGGACTGATAAAGATCAAAGAGCACAGCCTTCGGTATGGATTACACCTCAATGTAAAGAAAACAAAAATCCTCACCATTGGATCAATAAACAACATTCTTATCCATGGAGAAAAGATTGAAGTTGTGAAGGGCTTCATTCTTCTTGGATCAACTATCAACACTCACAGAAGCAGCAGTCAAGAAATCAGACGACATACTGCATTAGGCAAATCTGCTGCACAGGAACTTTTTAAAGTGTTGAAGAGCAAAGATGTCAGCTTGAGGACTAAGATGCGCCTGACCCATATGCATGTGAAAGCTGGACAGTGAATAAGGAAGGCCGTAGAAGAATTGATGCTTTTGAGTTATGGTGTTGGAGAAGAATATTGAAAGTGCCACGGGCTGCCCATGGAACCAACAGTGTTTTGGAAGAAGTGCAGCCAGAGTGCTCCTTGGAGGACTTTGTCTCTCATACTTCGGACATATTGTCAGGAGGGACCAGTCCCTGGAAAAGGATATCATGTTTGGTAAGGTGGAGGGTCAGAGAAAAAGAGGAAGACCCCCAGCAATATGGATTGGCCAAGTGGCAGCATCAGTGGGCTCAAGTGTGGGCAGGTTTCAGCTGAACTTCCAGACAAAGATAGACCAGAAAGAAAGAAATGTCGACTAATTCTGAATGTTTAGCCACTGATAACCTTATGAATAGCAATGCAACACTGTGAAATAGCACCACAATATTGAATACTGAAACATGAGTAGCACCAGAATTTTGTCAGATTTAGTGTCAGAAGATGAGCCCTTCATAGTGGAAGGCACTCAAAATATGACAGGGGAAGGATCCCTCCTCAAAGTAGAACTGACTGTGATGATGTGAATGGAGTAAGCTTTCGGGACACAACTCAACATTCAACATTCATGAATGTTGAGGAAAACAGTCAACATTCATGAATAATCAGAGCATGGAATATGCGAAGTATGAATCTAGGAAAATTATTGTTGTTAAGTGCCTTGGAGTTGGTTCTGACTCATAGCGACCCTGTATAGGGTTTCCAAGGAGAGGCTGGTGAGTTTGAACTGTCGACCTTGTGGTTCAAACCGACCTTTAGGTCCAGTGCTTTATCCCACAGAACCATACCAGGACTCCAAGAAATATTGGAGGTGGTAAAAAAGAAATGCATAAAGACCAATATCCTAGGCATTAGGAGCTGAAATGGACTGGTTTTGGTCGTTATGGATCTGACAATCACATGGTTTACTATGCCAGGAAGGGCAAATTGAAGAGGAATGGCATCGCATTCTATACCAAATAAAATGTCTCAAGATCTATCGTGAAGTACAATGCTGTCTGTGTTAGGATAATATTCATTAGCCTACAAAGAAGACTGTTATTTAAATGTAAGCACCAACCACTAAAGCCAATAATGATGACACTGAAGGACTCTAATTTATTCAGTCTGAAATTGATCAAACATACAATCAAGATGAATTGATAGTCACTGCAATGTTAAAGTTGGAAACAAAAACAAAGGATCAGTAGTTAGTAAATAGGGCCTTGGTGATAGAAATCATGTTGGGGGCCGCATGATACAATTTTGTAACACCAATGACTTCATTAAAAATACCTTTTTAAAATAACATAAAAGACGACTATACGCATGGACCTCACCTGATGGAATAAATAGAAATCAAACTGACGACATCTGGAAAGAGAGGGTGGAAAAGCTCCATATCATCAACCAAACCAAGGCCAAGGGCAGACTGTGGAACAGACCATCAATTGCTCATATGTAAGTTCAGGCTGAAGAAAATGAAATCAAGTTCATGAGAACCAAAATATAACCTTCAATATATTCCACTTTAATTCACCGATCATCTGAAGAACAGATTTGATACATTAGACACTAAAGACTGAAGACCAGAAGAGTTGTGATAGTACATCAAGAATACTATACAGGAAAAAAAGCAACAGGTCATTAAGAGACAGGAAAGAAGGAAAAGAGCAAAGGGATGTCAGATGACATCCAGAAAACCGCTCTCCAGCATAGAGATACTAAAGCAAATGGAAGAAAGAAGGAAGTCCAAGAGCCGAATAGAGTATTTCAAAAGGCAGCTGTAGACTATAAAGGAATGTATAAAGACCTTCCTGGAGTTCGAAAACCAGAAGGATGCTGAGCATTTCTTAAGCAGAAAGAACTGAAGAAAAACTCAAATCTCAACTAGCAACACTGAAGTATTTTGTGGGCAAAGTACTGAATGATGCAGAAAGCATCAAAAGAAGATGAGAGGAATACACAGAGCCGCTGTACCACAAAGAAATAGACGATGTTCAACCATTTTAAGATACAGCATACGATCAAGAGCCAATGGTATGGAAGGGAGAAATCCAAGTGCACTGAAGGAATTGGCAAAGAACAAAGCTCCAGGAATGGATGGAACAAATTAAAGTCTTTCAACAAACGGATGCAGCACTGGAGGCACTCACTCATCTCTGCCAAGAAATTTGGAAAATAGCTATCTGGCCAACTGATTGGAAGAGATCCATATTTGTGCCCATTCCAAGGAGAGGTGACCCAATGGAATGCGGAAATCACTGGACAATATCATTAACATCACATGCAAGTAAAATTTTGCTAAAGATAATTAAAAAACAATGGTAACAGTATACTGACAGAGAACTGCTGGAGGTTCAAACTGGATTCAGTCAAGGATGTGGAACAAGGGATACCATTGCTGACATCACATAGACCTTGGCTGAAAGCAGGGAATATCAGAAAGATGTTGACCTGTGCTTTATTGACTATGAAAAGGCATTTGATTGTGTGGATCATGACAAGCTATGGACAACACTGCGAAGTATGAGTATTCCGGAACACTTCATTGTGCTCATGAGCAATCTGTACCTGGACCAAGAGGCAGTCCTTCAAACAGAACAGGGGACACTGAGTGGTTTAAAATTAGAAAAGGTGTGTGACAAGGTTGTATTCTTTCACCATACTTACTCAACCTGTATGCTGAGCACATAATCCTCAAAGATGAATTCTATGAAGAACATGGCCTTTGAGAAAAACTCATGAAGAACCTACAATATGCAGATGATACAATTGTGCTTGCTTGAAAGTGAAGAGGACTTAAAATGTTTACTGACGAAGATCAAAGCCCAGAGCATTCAGTATGGGGTACATTTCAATGTAAAGAAAATAAAACTGCTTAGACTGGACCAATACATTTGTTGTTTAGTGCCATGAAGTCGGTTTAGACCTACAGTGACCCTTTATATGGTTTCCAAGGAGCACCTGGTAGGTTTCAACCACCCACCTTGTGGTTCAAACTGACCTTTCGATCCAGCGCATTATCCTGAAGCAGCACAACAGGACTTGATAAGTGGAGAAGAGACTGAACTTGTCAAAGACTTCATTTTGCTCCGAACAACCATCAACACTCATGGACGCAGCAGATTTCTTGACAATTTGCATTAGGCAAATCTGCTGCACAAGACCTTTTTAAAGTGTTGAAGAGCAGAGATGTCAGCTTGAGGACTAAGGTGCACCTGACCCAAGCCATGGTATTTTCAATAACCTCATATGCATGCAAAAGCTGGACAGCAAATAAGGAAGATGGTTAAGAATTGATGCTTTTGAGTTATGGTGTTGGAAAACAATTAAAACTATTAAAAGTAACATGGACTTCCAGAATAACAAACAAATCTGTCCTGGAAGAAATACAACCAGAATGCTCCTTAGAAGTTTGTCTAATAATAGACTTTGTCTAACATGCCTTGGACACACAGTCAAGAGAGACCAGTCGCTGGAGAAAGAGATCATGCTTGGTAAAGTGGGGGGAGGGGGGTTAGTGAAAAAGAGGGAGACTCCCAACGAGATGGACTGACATAGTGTCAGCAGCAATGGGTGCAAGGTCAACAATGCTTGTTAGGATGGAACCGACTGGACCAGTGTTTCCTTCTGTTGTTCGTGACTCTGGGTCGGAAAGATCCTCGAGGGCACCTAACAACGACATCCGGTGTCTGAAGAGCTACTGGAGATTTTGAACTGCCAACTTTAGGATCCAATGCTTATCCCACAGTGCTCCATTCGAAATTAAAGGGCAGCATTTCCCCAAGAACAAAGTCCCGAAGGGTTAAGAAAGGAGGAGGAATGCAAAGGGGAAACACAGGGAGAGAGGGGTGAGCAAGGCAGCATTGCGGAGACTGAAATCCGCGAGATGAAACGACCTGGGTATGGACGGTCGGATGGAAAACTGATCTGTAAACGTTCACCCAATAATCACTAAACACACTTAAAGGTTGAGTCTCAGGTTCCCTGTGGGTAGTTCTGTAGGTTCCCTAAGAGCTCCGGTAGGTTTGGCTGGAGTTGATGGGAAGGAATGTAGGGGCAGTTCGCGGCCCGCTGGTAGCTCAGTGATTCCCGGTTTGCCTCCTCCGAGCCCACTTCCCAGGTGCTGGAGTGCGTCTCAACCTGCAGTTTCAGCAGTGCCTGAAAGCCGTCCCTCCAAGCAAACGCAACCTCCCTGGGAGCACACTGATGACGTGAAAGCTGTTGCTAAGTGCCATGGAGTCGGCGCCGACCCAGAGCGACCCTGCATCGGGTCTCCAAGGAGCGGCTGGTGAGCTTGAGCTGCCGGCGTGCGGGCCAGCGCTTTAAGAGCGGTGCCCGACGATCTAGTCGGGTGAGGGGACTGCAGCGCACAGCCCGGGGGCCACTCCAGCGCCTCACTTCCTCAGCACGGCCTCTTCCGTCTTCGTCCCGCCCTGAGCCGGTGCTCAGAGCGTAGGCTTCGGCCGCGCCGGGGTTCACGGCCCCAAAACAAGGCCGACAGCTTGTCGCCCGTCGTGACCCCGCGAGGCTCCGGGGCCGCCAGCGGAAGTGACGGCACGCGTCGTCGGCTCGGCCCGCCTCTTCCGGTCGGCGGCGCCCCGCCCCGCGGCCGCCCCTCCCCCGCCGCCGCTCTGTCAGCTTCTCCGTCTCCTTCCTCTTCCTCCCGCTCGGCTCGGCCCGGAGCGCACGCACCTGCCCGCTCGGCGCTGCCCGCGCCCGGCCCTCCTCTCCTCCTCCCGCCGCCCGAGGCCGGCCGGCCGCACAGCCTCGCGGCTGCGTCACCGAGGCCCGACAAGATGGACACCGCCGAGGAAGGTAGGTCGGCGCTGGCCCGCGCCCGCCGCGGCGCTCGAGACGGCGGGATGGGGCCGTGGCCGTTTGTCGGGCGCCGCGAGGCCGGCCAGCTGTCCTCCCGGGGGACGCAAGGTGACCCCCCGACCCCCGCCTTTCCGCCGCGGCCCACGGAGCGGGGGGGCGTCGGGCCCGTGACCCCGGACCCCGAGAGCCGGCCTCGTCGTGGGGGGGGACCGTGCCCGGGAAGGGACCCTGGCTGGAGCCCGCTGGCTGAGGGGGTGTGGTGGCGTGGACCCTGCCCCCTGCGCCCCACACCTTGCGGCGGTCCAGGCCAGAGGAACGCAGCGCGCAACTTCTTTGTTGACTTTGCAAGTTGGCCAGCAGTGCGGCCAGGTGACAGCGCCGGCGGGCCAGTGATGCCCGAGTCTGGGGAGGTGGCAGTTGGAGGACAGCTGCCCAGCCACCTGGGGCTGCGGTGACCGAAGACCGGAAGTCCCTGGGCAGCTCCGAGCCGCGGGGCGCTGGCGGCTGAGAGCCCGTGGCCGGCCTGGGTGCAGACTCCGGCTGTCCCCCGGGAGCCCTAGAGCCACGCCAGACGCAGACACTGGCCTGAGCCTGGAGTGATCTGGCAGAAGCTGGCAGGACAGTGCCCACAGCGCACACACGGGCAGCCACATGGCACCTGCTTCACAGCACTGCTGTGGAGACCCTTGTCCCTCCGAATGGCTTCCAACTCCTAACCCTGTGGAGGCTTGCTGAGGAGTCCACCTTGGGTGGGTTTGAACCGCCGACCTTGCAATGAGCAGTCCTGGACTCCTACACCCCGCTTGATGTGGAAATTTAGGCTGAGGCTATTTTAACAGCCTATTCAAGGCTTTGGGAGAAAGATGAGGCTTTCTACTCCCGTAAAGATTTACACCCACGGAAACCCTGTACAGGGTCGCTATGGGTCGGAACCGACTCGATGGAACTTAACAAACAACAACAACAACATTCAAGGCTTTGGGAGAAAGATGAGGCTTTCTGCTCCCATAAAGGTTTCCAGCCTTGGAAACCCTTCACAGCCTGCTTGAGTGCCAACAGACTCAATGGCACATAACCACCAGCCATCACCATACAAGGTTAATGAAACTAGTGGGCAAAAACAACAACCAGGTTTATACTTAGGTAAGGAACCCTGATGGCACCATGCTTAAAGTGCTGATGGTCACCGAAAAGTGGCTGCTCCTTGGGGAAAGATGCAGCCGCCTGCTCCCATAAAGATGATAGCTGTAGAAATCCTATGGGACAGTTCTTCTCTGTCTGACCTTTAGGGTTGCTAGGGTGATGGCAATGCATTTGGTTCGGGTTTTGAATTTGGCTGCAAATGAATTTCCCTTCATTTTGCCTCAGTTATGTTTATTCTAGATAGTGAAGTCAGTTACCACAGGAGATTCCTTGGAAAAGTAGTCCTGGGAAATTGTAGACTAGCAAGGACATTCTTTTTTGACACTGGTCCTTGCATGAAAGTTTTCATTTACTCAGGTTTCACATCCTTTTGAATTCAATTTGATAGATGAGTCTTGTTTTTTTGTCAGGTACCATCGAGTCGGTGCCGACTCATAGCGACCTTATGTACAACAGAACAAAACACTGCCCTATCTTGGCCCAACCTCACTATTGTTGCCACGCTAGAGCCCATTGATGCTGCCACTTGGCCAGTCCATGTCATTAGGGGTCTTCCTCTTTTTCTCTGACCCTCCACCTTAGCAAACATGATATCCTTCTTCAGAGACTGGTCCCTGCTAACAATATGTCCCCTCCTGACAAGTATGAGAGACAAAATTTGGCCATCCTTGCCTCCAAGGAGCACTCTGGCTGCACTTCTTCCAAAATGAATCTGTTGTTTCTTTTGGCAGTCCATGGCATTTTCAGTATTCTCCTCCAACACCAAAACTCAAAGGCATCAATTCTTCTACGGTCTTCCTTATTCACTGTCCAACTTTCGCATCCATATGAGGTTATTGAAAACACCATGGCTTGGGTCAGGCGCACCTTAGTCCTCAAGCTGACATCTCTGCTCTTCAACACTTTAAAAAGTTCCTGTGCAGCAGATTTGCCCAGTGTAATACGTCGTCTGATCTCTTGACTGCTGCTTCCAAGAGTGTTGATAGTTGATCCAAGAAGAATGAAGTCCTTGACAAGTTCAATCTTTTCTCCATTGATAAGAATGTTGTTTACTGGTCCAGTGGTGAGGATTTTTGTTTTCTTGACATTGAGATGTAATCCATACCGAAGGCTGTGCTCTTTGATCTTCATAAGTAAATGTTTCAAGTCCTCTTCACTTTCAGCAAGCAAGATTGTATCATTTGCATCTAGTAAAGCATATATTATATATACATGCGTTGATGTTGTTGTTAAGTGCCATTGAGTTGGTTCCGACCCATAGCGACCCTATAAAGGGTTTCCAAAGAGATGCTGATGAGCTTGAATCGCCAACCTTGTAATTCAAACGGCTTTGCGGTCTGGTGCATTAACTTACAGGGCCACACCAGGACATACTGTTACGTGCTATTGAGTCAGTTCTGACATATAGCAACCCTGTATAGGGTTTCCAAGGAGTGGCTGGTGAGGTTTGCACTGCTGACCTTGTAGTCCATGCATAGTCACTATGAGTCTATATATGCATGTATATGGAGTCCTGGTGTCATGCTGTTGGGTAAACGCTGGACCACAAGGTCAGTTTGAATCACCGGCCTCTCCTGAGAAACCCTAAACAGGGTTGCTATGGGTCAGAACTGACTTGATGGCATATATATCTATATATCTATATCTATATGTTGGTAGAGATAGATACAGATACACACACACACCCCAAGTCCTGAGGTGGCGCTGTGGGCTAATGCGCCAGATTGCAAAGCCGTTAGAACTACAAGGTCGGTGGTTCAAGCTCACCAGCTGCTCTTTGGAAACCCTATACAGGGTCACTATGGGTCGGAACTGACTCAGTGGCACTTCACAGCAACAACAACATACGCACACAAATACATACAGCCATGAGGGGACTGCCAAAAAGGTCATGGAAAAAGTCCACTATCTTTTTGTTCAAAATTTCCATGAACTTTTTGAAACCCCGTCATGGAAGTCTCATTTGAGATATATGAAACCCTGCTGACGTGGTGGGCTAGTCATTCGATTGCCAACTGAAAGATAGGCAGTTCAAACTCACCAGCCGCTCCCTGGGAGAAAGATGACAGAGTCTGCTGCCATCAAGATGCACAGGCTCTGAAAGTCCATGGGGCAGATCTGCTCTGTCCTCTAGGGGCACTGGGTCCTGGAATTCACTTGCTGGCAGTGGGCCGGCGGGGTGGTTGGTACTGTGGTAAATGCCCAGTCTTTTAGTACTTGCACACATTTACGGTGCAGAAATAATGAGCATTCAAGAACTGAACTCTCGAAGCGTGTACTGAATCATAAGGGGCACTGGTGGCATAGTGGACCAAATGCTGGGCCGATAACTGCAAGGTCAGCAGTTCAAGTCCATCAGTTGCTCTGCTGGAGAAAGAAGAGGCTTTCTGCTTCTGTAAAAATGTACAGCTTCAGAAATCCTATATCGCGTTGCTGTGAGTCGAAACCAAATCTACAGCATACTGAATCATAAATGGAGTATTTTCAGTGTGCTTCTAATACTTGTTAAGTGCCAGAGTCGGTTCCGACTCACAGCGGCCCTGTATAGGGTTGCCAAGAAGCGGCTGCTAAGTTTGAACCATCAACCTTGCTGTTCAGACTGACCTTATGATCTAGTGCATTGTTCCTTTGTGAAGTTACAATCAGGGTAGGGTATAAATGATAATTATTTACTAGCCTGAACCCTGTTCCCTAGTAACATTTACTGAGGGCTTGACATGTGGCAGGTACTTTACTAAACACTTACTTTTCTCAACAGTTTTAGAAAGTCAGTATTCCCATTTGCAGATGAGGACACTGAAGTTAGTGTGATTAAGTAACTTGTCTAAGGTTGTGTTTTCAGTGAATGGCAGAAATCATGTTTAAGTTAGATATTTTATAAGTGTATATATTGGAGTCCCGGCGTGGTGCTGTGGGTTCATGCGCTGGACAGTCGCTCATGGGAAACCCTATACCAGCTGCTATGCGTCAGAAGCGACTCCATGGCACCTAACAATGACGTTGTTGTTGTTTATAAGTGCCATCGGGTCGGTTCTGACTCCTAGCGACTGTTGATGGGGTTTCTGAGGAGCAGCTGGTGGTTGGAACCACCGGCTGTGTGTCTTGTCTGTTGTGGTGTGTGTGAGTGCAGACAGCCTTTGTTAAGTGTTGCCAATCATCAGATCTGTAAAGCTCCAGTTGGAGCCCACCTTGGATGTGAATAACTTGTTTTTGGCTGAATCTTGCTTTATGGATGAATCCTTTATATAATTTAATGGGACTTTATTTTGTGTTTTAAAAATAAAACTACTCGTTGTGAAACTTAAGTGAATTATCGTGTTTCTCAAGCTTTTATATAATTCCAAACTGTACAGTCTTCTGAAAGTTCCAAAATTAATTTAAATTTCACTTGAGAAAATCCTGGAGGAAAAGGGAGAATTATAGTGGCTATCGCAATAAAAATGATTGAAGAACATGCCCGGAGTGTGAAAATGGTGCCTTTGGTTGTTGGATCAAGTATTACAGATTCTCTCTCAAATTAAGGTGAGAAAAGTGTAATTGGGGTTTGATCTGATTATATTTTGTTAATTATAAAAGAAACAGTGCTACGTAGGAGGTTTAGGAGCCATGGTGGTGCAGTGGGTGAAGTGCTGGTCTGCTGACTACAAGGTCTCGGTTCAAAAGCAGGCCAAGACCGTCTGCTGCGGTAACCATGACAGCCTTGGGCACTCTGGAGACAGTGCTCCTGGGTCCTATTGGCTCAGACTCGATATGGGAACGGGGAGGTGTTATTAGCTGTTTTGTTTTGTTTGTTTGAAAGAAACTGCAGGAGATAAAGAATATTAAACCTTAAAATCTTGTCATCCTATTACCTA